TGTTAGAAAAAAAAAGAAGAAGCATTACTTGTACAAACACTAATGGGAAGTTTAATACTGAGGAGAGTCTAAGCCACAAGTTGCATTACCAGGAGACTCCAGCAGGCTGCGCTCTGCGTCCATCAACGTCTGCAGCATGCCTTCCGTCAGCTCTGGACGTTTACTGATCATACTGAAGCCGTTCCACATGTACATCATCTCCTGCAGGCACACAGGAACTGACGTCAGGACGCTGAGTGTGTGTGTGTGTGTACCTGATGGTTTGGTGTGTGTGTGTGTGTGTGGTGTGTGTATGGTTACCAGCACTGGCACTGGCAGCCTGACTGGGCAGGAAGCCTTGTAGCGTCTGGCCTTACGGATAGCAAACTTCTCCGTCGGGGGGGATTTCCCTGCTATCCTCTGTTTGAATCTGGGAACTTGTCTGAAGACGAAGGAAAAATTAAATATAAATATTTAACACGTACAGATATCAGGAAAATAAAGTTTTTCATGATGTAAAATCTGTAATTTGTATATGTGTAAAATTGTATATGTGTTTAAAGAAAATAATAATTTAAAGAACTTGATTTGAATGTTTAGTTTTCGATCACGTTCTCCCCTGGTGTTGACCTGCTCCGTCATCACTTTACTATAATAACTCATCAGGTGACGCCTGAGGTCACATGATCACACACACACATTCACACCTGTGGTCAGTTTACAGTGTTTGGTCTGGACTTCACTACAGTACTCCACACAGTACACACAGTACTGTGTTCCTGCAGTTCTCCAAATGAAACACTGACACTGAGCGACTGGTTCAGAACCTGTTGGAGGACACTGATTGGTTGGAGACGACGGCGTGTTCATCTACCTGAAAAGGTCTACCTCGTCCTCTCCAAACGGCCGGGCTTCATCCCGAGGCAGCATACTGAGGTACGCAGCTTTCATGTACATGTACATGGCCTCGGGGGGAGAAAACAAAAACTGTTGGTTTTTTTCCTGACAGGTTGTTTTTTTGATTCATAAAAACCTGGACCAGTGTCGGACACCTTGGACCAGCGGCTCTCCTGACTCAGGAGGTCGGCGTAGAAGTAGGCCATCCTCCACGCCCGTTTGTAGGTGAAGCACCACATCAGCTCCCAGTAGCACATGTGGTGGAACTGCTTCCAGGCCTGCTGGGCTTTACAGCCGTCCTCAAAGAGCGCCACCGCCTGGTGGAACAGAGAGACAGCAGAGATTAGCATAAGATCATGAGTCTGATTCCACTGAGGCTCCGTCTGGATCAGAGGAGAAGGGTTAGGATGAGAGATGGGATTAGATTAGATTATGTCGATGCGGATTATAAATGTGATTAGAGATTAGATTAGAGATGATATAAAATGTAATTTCCACAACATCATTCAATCATTTGTAACTTGTTACTGCAGTTCAGCACAGTAACCAAAGTTTTACTTGTAAGAATACACACAAAGACAGTATTTGTGTATTTGATGAAGTACTTTGTACTACTGTGGTACTCACCTCATCAATGTTCCCTTTGATCTCCTCAGTCCTGCCTGCGAAGAACAGGAAAATGGCCCCCTGTGGGACAGAAACCAGAACAGTCAAACACGTGGTGCGGGGGTCGAGAAGAGCACATCAGTCGCCAGGTCACATGATCACATGATCACCACATGTCACAAAAGCTGGTGTACAGTTGTTATCAGATCTGACCCAGATCTGTGTTTGTTCTCTGGGATGGGCCACCGTGTGGGCAGAAGGTGGGGTGGAAACTGGGATTGGGAATTTTCTAGAACATGAGTCACGCAGTCGAGTGTTAGCATGACTGGGGCGCGACAAACATGCTAATAAAAGGATTTATTCATTGTTAGCATGACTGGGGCGCGACAAACACGCTAATAAAAGGATTTATTCATGGATGTATTCTGACTAAAAGTGGACAGCACTGGACTCTTCAAGACCAATGGTTCTCAAAGTACGGTGTGTGTACCACTTGTGCTACCAGGCTCCCTCTAGTGGTGCCTTAGGAACCTGTTCACATTTATATGTGACTACGTTTCGACTCCAAGGTGAAGTGACCAGGAGTGTGTACTGGCAAGAATCTGGCGATACGACACGCATCACGATACAGGGGCAACGATAACGATATACGATATACGATATTACGATAAACTTAGCATCTGCTAAATGCATGAATGTAAATGTCTCTACTAACTCTGCCCCCACCTGGGACCTCTGGGTAACACACTCACTTAACCCCGTCTTAGGCCTCACTCACCCGCGGGTACCGATGCTGGAAGGGTTTGAGGAGCCTCTCAGCTTCAGCCACTTCTGCCTCACCAGTGCCTGCGAAGAATCACAACCACGGACACATTAGCACTCCCTGGTGGAAATAAGAGGGAACGGCCGACCTGTACCATACAGTAAATCATGTGGTGTGAGTGGTGTGAGTGGTGGCGGGCAGCCGTACCGAGGATGAATGTGAGGAAGGTGTAGTAGCAGAGCAGCAGCAGAGCGCAGAGCATGGAGCGCAGGTTGGTCCCCGTGGCGCCGTCATGCAGCAGGGACAGACCGTACTCCTACAGGCAGAGAGAAGCATTACAGTCTGAGACATGATGACGTGAGTGTGGACACGAGGACGGAGGAATGGACACGTCTCACCTTGTCCCCCGAGAACCCCGCAAACTCCAGCAACCGCAGGATCCGTGGAGGGAAGAGGGAGAGCGTCTGTGGACGGAGGAGGAGCAGAGTCAACGCACACACACACACGCACGCACACACATAATCCCACCTACCAGATTAAAAGCCCCAATTCCAAATGCAATTCCTCCTTCTAACTGTAGGTGGCTCGGTCCTTTCACGTAGTTGTGAGATTTGACAAAAGCATGAAGTTCTCTGCAAAAATAAATAAATAAATAAATAAATAAAACATTGATCAACGTCACAAAAAAAAAAAAAAAAAAAAATGAAACATTGATCAACGTCACGTCCTGACTGTGATACTGTGATGAACAGAGTTTTTTTTTTCTGGTTTTACTTCATGGTCGTGAGGAAGACGGTGATACTACACCGGTCTCACTCAAATACTTCATGGTCGTGAGGAAGACGGTGACTACACTGGTCTCACAATGTACTGCAGTAGTACACACTTTTTTTGTATTTTATGGTTCATAAAACTACACCCTAACCCTGTGGGTATAAAAATATAATATAAACTGCTGGTTATAGACATGTCAAACCATATATCACCTCATAAAGGAGCACTTCCTTTTTAAGAGTCAGTGAGTCCTCACTTTATTACTTCATACCTCTCTGCTGGTACACAAATACTGGGCAGTAAAACTCACTTGTATTAAATATCTGCTCTTTAGAGGAAAATAAAGATAAATGATGGTGGGGTTCTTGTTCCTGGTCTTTGTCACAGCCTGGGGCTGGAAACTGCCATGAAGTGACGCAGCTTCACCTCCAGGTGGCACTATATCTCTTTAGGCGTTTCAAACTTTTTAATAAATGTGTAAAAGTATCCAAAGTATCAAAAAAATACTGAGAGTTTTAAAAAAATATATCAAATAATTTAACACTGGTTCAGACAATGAGCAAATTAAACCTATGACCTTTGACCTTTCATCTGATTGCAGAGGAGACTTTGGGAGCATTCAATGACACGTGCTACAGTAGGTTGTAGGTTTGTATCCCATTATCTAAAGAATTATTCATTAAAAGAGGAAGTGATGTAATGGCAGATGTCTACCTCAAGGGGGTGGAGTTTGAATGTGGCCTGGTGTGTTTAATGAGTTCTAACTAAGATGATCAGATGACAGATCCACAGAACAGCGTTAATGCGTTGGATGTTGGTGTGAATATTCACCGTGTTTTCTTTGTACTTACTTGTAAATCATGTAACTGTTTCGTACTTTCATCCCTCCTTTAATGAAACTCACCATGTTCTCATCCTGAGGAGGAAAAAAAAAAGAAATCAATCCATGGTCAGAGGTCATCCTGTGGTCACAGTAGAACCCCCCCTCAGCCCCCCCCACGGTCAGTACTGAGTGACTGTTCCTGGACTGTTCTTCGTTTTCGTACACACCCGTCGGACGACGTCGTGTAAAGACAAACAGAGTAGAACAGCTGACTCACTGAAGGCAAATACCACGGCAGTACTCTGTAGTCAAGTGTGTACTCTGCAAATACGTGGTGCCACTGTACTGCTGTAGGGCCGTCAGCCGTTGTGTCCTTGGGCAACGTGTGTGTGGGTTTGAATATGTGTGAAATATATAGGACCGTACCTGGAGGAAGGTGAGTGCTGCCCTCTGCAGCTGACACTCGGCATAACACACTTCAGCGTGAAGCTGCACTGCAAGAACAGACATGGAATACATGACAGGTGTACCTCCGACCTCTGACCTCCACCACAGCTACACATATGTGAATATATAAAATATCAATAAGACTTTTTTTTTTACCTTCGCTCAGTGAGTCTCCCTCTGATTTGGTTTTCCGTCGATACCTGGAACATCAGAAACAGACGTTCAGTCAACACTTCGTCTTCAGTGAGGCGTCTGTGATGTCATCACTGTTGTTCTAGGGTTGAAACAGCTGTACAACAGTTTCCAGCTCCTACATTGACCTCTGACCTCTGACAGACCTCCTGGGCACCTTTCATGGTGTTTCCGGCGTTGGTGATGTCATCATGCTGGAAGGTCATCATGGCCTGCATCTCCAGCACGGTGGCGTAGATGAGAGCGTGGTACATGCTGTCGTTCACTCTGCACAGGGAACACAACGCCACACACCAGAATCAGGTGAAAAAATTAAAAAGTCCTGATTTGTGAAAATTATTAAAATTATTATTGACAACTAGTCACGGGTCAGATGTGGAGGTTTTAGGGGTCAGAAGCTGCTGCTGCTGCTGTTACTGCTGCTGTTGCTGCTGTTACTGCTGCTGTTACTGCTGCTGTTACTGCTGCTGTTACTACTGCTGCTGCTGTTACTACTGCTGCTGCTGCTGCTGTTACTGCTGCTGTTGCTGCTGTTACTGCTGCTGTTACTGCTGCTGCTGCTGTTGCTGCTGCTGTTACTGCTGCTGTTACTGCTGCTGTTACTGCTGCTGTTACTACTGCTACTGTTACTGCTGCTGTTACTACTGCTGCTGTTACTGCTGCTGCTGCTGTTGCTGCTGCTGTTACTGCTGCTGTTACTACTGCTGTTACTACTACTGCTACTGTTACTGCTGCTGCTGCTGTTACTACTACTGTTACTGTTACTGCTGCTGCTGCCCAGTAGCTGTTTATTTTCCTACAGGGACATGATAAGAGAACATGTCTGTCTCCCTCTGGTTCTCCTGTCTGTCTGTCTCTGGTTCTCCTGTCTGTCTGTCTCTGGTTCTCCCGTCTGTCTCCCTCTGGTTCTCCTGTCTCTCTGTCTCCCTCTGGTTCTCCCGTCTCCTCCTCCGACCCCGACTCTCTGGTGTTTGTTTTGCAGGGCTGTCATTTCCTTGGTTGTTCTAACAGTCAGTGTTTGGGCGTCAGCTTCAGCAAACACTGAATATCCTGGAGGAAAGAGAGGGGGTGAGAGAGAGAGAGAGAGAGAGAGCACACACACACAGGCTGACAGGAAACACAAACCACAAAATATAAGAAACCGAAGAGCAGAAACTGCTGAGATCACGGTGAAGAACCAGTTCATGTGAAGGAACTAATGTAATGACAGCAACGTCCTCTGGGGGGAGGAGAGTGGGGGGGACCGGGGGGGTGTTTTGGTGTTACCGTGGCCGCAGTCTCTCCAGACTTTCACTGAAGTGGTTGTTGAGGAACAGGTCCAGGGCCTCCATGCACTGGTCCAGAGACTCCTTCAGGGGCGGCTCGGAACTCCTGACATTTAGAAACAAACGGAAAAACAAACAGAAATGAACTCCTCATCACGCAGCTGCGGGTCTTATCAGTTATCAGTTATCAGTGTGTGACTCCGTGACTCTGTTGTGCTGCTGCTGCTGCTGCTGCTGCTCCAGGACCAACAGAAACTCAGAGTCTGGAAAAGTTTGAATTCTCAGGCTGAACATTTTGTCAAACCAACTTCCACAGGAACAAACTTACTTTTCAGCCCCATTGGCGCCTCTGCCGTTGGACATGTTCATCTCCTCGACGACACCTGTTCGCAGCTCGACTCCACTCCCGCCAAATGAGGACATAAAATGTCCGAGCTTCGTAACTCCGGCTGCGGGTTCAACTCCGTAAAAGTGCCGCGGACGGAGAATAACAGACAGGTGTTCGTGCGTGCGGATCCTGCAGCGTGAATGTGCACAGCGGTGACGTAACAGACTCCTCCCCCGTGACTCCAGTGCCACGCACACGGTCAGTCAGGTGGCGGCTGAGCAACATCACCGTGAAGTTAAAAAAAAAAAATCCGGTGGAAAACACGTCATTACCAGAGTTTAAAAATATCAGTGGAGGCAAATTAAAATAACTAGGAACCATCTTTGTTGAATGCTGCCGACTGTTGTACAGGTGTTGTCATGCAGTATCTCTGCTACAGTGAAACAGCGCCTCTCTGTGGTCAGACCTTGAAACTGCAACTGTTATAGAACGTAGCGTTAAAGACGGAGAAATAAAAGGTTTATAAAGTAATTGAATGAGGTGTGTTGACAGACAGAAACACTGCCCTCTGTCGGAATTTTCGCTCCTTTTGCAATATTTTTGCAGATTAAATGTTTAATTATTTTTTCGTTTTTTCTCTCATTTTAATGATATTAATAAAGCCTGACGATAATCCCGGCTGTGACCTGTTTAAACCAGTCTGACATCGGGACCAGGTTTTGGTGTCCATGACGACCAGTGGTCCTAAAAATAGTTGTGTTTCTGTCTGTTGGTGAACATGTTTCTTGTCGTCTGTATGAGTCAGACGTGGCGCTGATGCAAATGTGTTTTCTGACACATTTTCTTATCGAACACATGTATGTAAATACTGCGTGACATGAAACCTGAGCTGCAGCTGGGTATGAACATATACTGCAGTAAAACACAGACAGTATGTGGAGCTACTGTGTACGGCGTTAGATCATTCCATGTTCACATGATGATCATTATCATTATTATTAATAATAATGTTGTTCCATTGAATGCATTTTAATAAATAATATGTTGGATTATATGTTTGTTTGTTTTTTTTACCAGATTCTTAAAATTTACCATACAAAAAAGTGAGACCACTTTGTAGCAATTCCTTGTCCTGGTGGGGTCAGGCTTTGGACCTGATGATTGAAGGTTGAAATCCCGGTCCTGGCAGGGCAGTGGGGTGTTGAGCCAACGTCCAGACCTCCAGGTCTTACCAAGCTCAGTATCAGCCAATCATTAGAGCTCCTCTCTGACTGTATCTGAAGCTTCAGGGGGAAAAAAAAATCAAACTCACCAGTCTGTAGAAATGCATTCCATTTAATTCCAAAATCAACTGCCATCAACATACACGTCATATATAGATCTATATTTGTTTTTTTTAAAGCATCAATGTTCACATGGAGGTTTTTCTGTATTTTCTGTGTCCGTCACCGTCAGTAGCACAGAGTCATTTCCTGCCTAGTTACAACTGAATGGCTGTGTGTTACAGAGACGGTCGCCGTGGGCAACCGTTCAAACAGGCAGCATGTCGTCTGACGTGGTGTGAGGAGCGGCGTTGAACATGAATCGATCGTTAGGTTTAAATAAAACAGGAAGAAAAGAGTTTCTCAGTCGTTCTGATTGCGCTGTCGGAAAAAAGGATGAAGGCCTGGTCTCCTCTGGAGGTCAAAGGTCAGGCACTGCTGGACTTTACTCTGCAGTAAAGACTCATGGAGACGACCATGGCACAAATCTGGAGGGAATAAAAAAAATGCATTATTATATTTATTGTTTATATGTTTTTAATACATTTTTATCAATAACTAATATTATACGAAAATGCTAGCTAATAAATAACTCATATCTCAACAAATTTGCTCTGATCTGAAGTGGAAAATAAAGGGTTAACGTCGGACCTCCAGAACTGCGATTCCCAGCGCTATTCCCACGATGACCACCGTGTTGTTCTTGATCAAGGCCAGGATCTTTGGGAAGCAGCCTGTGATTGTCTGAGGATGAAACAACCTCCTGTCAGATCAACGGAACGCCACAAGCCCCTCCCACTCCCCCTTCTCCACCCCCCCACCTCCATGTGCTGCCTTTTTTTGCAGCCCAATGAACTCTTTTCTGCCTTCTACTGGTCCGACCTATCACAGTCAGGCTGAATCTGGTTCCAAACTCGTACCGATTCACTGCCGGCCGACGCCTGGCTGCACGAGGAGTTGGTGCCGGGGCAGCAGAGGGGCGGGTACATGTGGTGCTCTTCGTAGTACGGAGAACCCACGAAGTCCGAGGAGTTGTAGAACCCACAGCACTTTAACTAAAGTGGACACACGGGGGCAGCAGAGAGCGTCAGAAATGAAAGCGTAGCTGTTTGGTGTCAGTATAAAAGGATGAGAGGCGTACCGTGGTCATGGTCGTATCCCACAGCCCCGTGACGTCTGGGTTCTGACCGTAGTCGTTCTGGATGTTCTGAACGGCCGCGGTGCCGAGCTTCTCGAAAATCTGGTCTACCTGAAAATAGAAGGAAAACGGTGGCGTTGGCGTCCAGTTTTTACAAGGACTGACGTCAGTGATGGTGAGGAGGCGCAGTCCTCTGATCACCCACCAGGGGTCTGAAGACCAGGATCACCACCGCTCCTGCCACCTCCGCTATGAAGACCAGGAGGACGATCAAAAAGAACTGCGGGAACATCAGACACTCACGTCAGTTCTGTTCTGACTGGAACTGTTTAATGACAGAGCTGAAGACTCCCCCTGGTGGACAGATGAGGAGTCTACACCCACCAGCAGCAACATGCACTTGTTTTCTCTGATGGCGCCGCAGCAGCCCAGGAACCCGATGACGACCAGCAGCGCTCCGATGGCGATCAGGAGGTAGCCCACGTTCAACACCTGACTCAGCTCCTCTGGCGCGTTCTCAATTTCTCCCAGGAAGTTGAGGACAGAGCCGCTGTCCACCTTCACCCAGATGCCCACAGCCAAGATGGCCGCTCCTGCCAGCTGATGAGAGGAGGAGACGAGAGGGAGGTTCACGGTTAGAAGAGAAACCAGATGAATGTGGAGCTGAAGGAACTACGGCTCCTCAGAGGTGACAATCAGAAGACGGTCTCCACAGGGACTGTGGACCCCAGGTTGAGAACCACCTTTCAACATTACATATATATTTATATTTCTCCATCATTACCTTCAAGTCAGTTACTAAACCAGTCAGTAAATTTAATATATATTCATATATATATTTCTTTCTACCAACAGAATTAATTCGTGTCACATAAACATGGTTGAAGTCGACGGTGAAACTTACGAAGATGATTCCGTTGAAGACGAACATCATGACTTTGAGGAGTCCATAACAACCCATGTTTGAGTCTCTTTTTCTTTAATCCTGTTTGAAGAAACACACAATATATTGACCCTCATCCAGACTCTAATCCTGTTTGAAGAAACACACAATATTAACATATTGACCCTCATCCAGACTGTGGTCGTCCGCTGGTCCTTTGTCCTCCTGTGTCCACGCGGAGGTGAAACCTGAACAGCAGGGCGGCGTTACTTCCTCTAACCCTGCTTTATTTCCCAGCATGCCACCCCTCAGCCCTCTGAAGCCTATTACCTTATCTTCCTCAAACATTCAGAGCTGAGCGCTCAGCACCGAGGACAATCCCTGTTCACACACGTGACCCCCCCGACCCCCCCTCCCCCCCCACCTCGTCCAGGTCAGGGATTAATGACGGCTGAAGAGAAACACAGTTGGAGGAAATATATTTACCTCTGATTAACGACAGACACGGACGACGGACAGATCAGGGAACGATGGAGGAGGTGAAAACATACACATATATATTTACATAGATATATATATAAATATATAAATACTAGTAGATTGTGATCAGGTGACGTCTAAGTGGTAAGTAGACAACGAGTACTTCACGATACTTTTAACTGAAATAAATGAAGGTTGAGAGCAGTACTACTTCAGTACATGTTTTGTAAGTACTCTGTAGTACTGTAGCCTGTGTGTGACGTCTGTCGTTATTTATTATAGTAAAATATTCTTTTTCTTCCCCGTTGGTCAGCGCTGGTTCTGGAAGATCATCACAGCAGAACATCAGGACATGAAGTGAACGTCAAAGTCTGTTCCACAAGTGTGATCACACATGCGTCATGTATCTGTCAGGAATCACACTGCCTCACAAACAACACACACACACCCACACACACACACACACACCATCCCTCCATCACCTCCTCTGTCCCTTCAGTTCTTCCAGAGTCACGTCAAGGTTGTCACCTCCGCAACCTCTGTGTGTGTGTGTGCGTGTGTGTGCGTGTGTGTGTGAAAGGGAAACAGCGACCATTGTGTGGAGAAACCAAACAGACGAGCTGTTATTGTGACGGTGGCAGCAGAGCTGATCTGAGATCAGAATGATTCCATGATGATTTGTCAGAAACAACACAACAACAGGAAGCAGCGCGTCGTTGGAGTGAATCCTCCTACACTGATGTGCTGAAGCTGTTTGTCATCAGGTTAATCATATATGTGAACCCACACACACACACACATGCACACACACACAAACTCCCCCAGGATTTCCCCCTCTTGCATTTTTCTCCACTTCCTGGTGGTCAATGATTGAACTCTGACACTGAGAAGTCGACGTGTCACCGATTAACAGCCGGGGGAGAAAAAAAAAAAAAGAAGGAAAAAACTCTCCAAAAATCACCACCGTCCGTGAGTGCCATCAAAAACACAGGCAGAACAACATCTCAAAGGACAGACAGAGAGAGAGAGAGAGAGAGGCAGAGAGATAATTGCAGGCCCCCAGGTCTCGGGGTCTCGGGGGACAAAGGCTCATTGTTGATTGGTTCTCTCCCTGCTCTGGTACGACTCGTGAAAAACAACCAAGAGATTCCAAGAAGTGAAGGATGGAAGTAGAAGAAGCACAAGTGTAGCTTTGGAGAAACTGCAGTTCCCGTCAGGTGAGGGCGCCGTCGTCTTACCTTGACACAGGAGAGACTCTGATCTTCACCTTCACCGTGGAGATGACTGACAGATGAACGATGGTCCACGCCGTTCTCCTGCGTCCGTCTGCTGCTCCCTGTCAGACCAGACACTCACTCTTATTTTTGGAGTACCGGCTGGGTATAAGTACTGAGAGAGAGGGAGGGGGCGGGGGGGCGGAACCAAAGCTGTTGAATCTCCGACATCACCATGGAGTTGTAAGGGGAGCTCCTGGGGGAGAACAGAGGACTTCACCAACGTCAGTACTTCACTCACAGAGTAAATACTAAAATACTTCATCAATCTGACAGGGTCAGGAGCAGTACTCTGTCAGAGGTGTTTTATAATAAAAAATATTTTGACATTATTTAGAAGCATGAAGTTCTCCTTCCTCCCCTGCAGGTGGTGCTGTGAAAGCATAATGATTTCTAAAAAAATTAAATTCTATTAATTGAAAAACAGAAAATAGAAGTGTTTTATAATAAAAAATATTTTGACATTATTTAGAAGCATGAAGTTCTCCTTCCTCCCCTGCAGGTGGTGCTGTGAAAGCATAATGATTTCTAAAAAAATTAAATTCTGTTGATTGAAATGCAGAAAACACAAAAGTTACGGGAATAAAAAAGTCACAGACATGAACCACTGACTTCCTGTCTGTGAGGGCGGAGCCTGACGGACGATGACAAATCACCTGTTAGGATTCATTCCCTGCTGATTGGACATCTCTGACATCATGATGTATTTTTGTTACTGACTCGTGTCATTTCTAACCAATTCTGATAATGTTGATGATGACGAGAAAAACAGGATTGGATTAATAATGTTCATCATATGACGTTTTATAAGATAGTACTCATGCAGTACTTATAGTACTGTATGAGTACTGTATGTTTTTTTGGTGAAATTATTGCATTTGTTATTTTTGAAACCCTCCAACATCATCATCTAACGTGTGGTTCAGATCCGTCCAGATTTATTCTTGACTTTCAGGAATTCTGAGACTTTTTATGTCTTTTTTCGTCATTAGTATTTTTGGCCATTTTTGGCAATTAAACTGGTGTAATAAAAATTAGGGAAGTCCGATATCAACTTTTTGACGATATCTAATATGCCGATATTCTCCAAAAACTTCATTTCCGATTCCAATATCTGCCTGGTAATATTTATTTATTTATTTATCAGTACAAACCACTGTTGTTGAGTTGTTGACACCAGCGTTCTGTTTACAACCCCCTGATTATTAAAACAGATTCATAAAATGAGCTGCAATGCTGCCATCTAGTGACTTTCACTTCCATATACAGACGTCTTTCCCCAAAACTATTTTTCATGTCACACGTCATTTGACAAAACCCAGGCATTGCGTTATCGGGTTTTAATTATCGGAGGAAAAAAAACAATATAATTATGATATTATTGAACATCTTTAACATAAATACTAGAACAAACAGTACAAATATATAAATCAATACTTGATCCCACATCATCTCATGACTGAACATGAATTAATTCATAATTACGACTGTATTTGTTTCTCGTTCAGCTCAGGTCTCTTCAGTTTTTTGGGATGAGTTCTTTGAGGAAACCTGTTCATTGATCTGATGTAAAGGTCAAACAACATGAAGTGATGAACTGATCAGATGACCTCGTGACCTTCACTCACACCCACACGGCATCACAGAAGTGTGTAAACACCGCAGGGTGTTAGGCAAGAGAGAGGGTTGTTTTGTTTTTTTTCCTCCTCCACATTTGTTTTGTCAAACAAATGAATTTCAGAGACACGTGAGTCACAGTCACGTGGTTTATTAAACCATCCAGTTCAGAAACTGACAGGAGCGACAAGAAAAGTGCAGTTTGTTTCCCCACAGAGGACGAGGAGAAGGCAGCGGAGAGGAGTCGAGAGTGGAGCCTTCCTGAGAGATCGTCACCGTGAACTCATCACCGGGGTGAGTCAGAACCACCGGGACGGACGTAGAACTCCGCCCTCGGGCCCACACAACAGACGCTCCGATCTGAATGACGTCAAGAAAAACAAAAAAAAAAAAAAGAGCGGAGGTTTGTGGCAGGTCGTGTCGATGAGACCTTTCACAAACCTTTGACTAGTAAATGTATGCACCCAGATAAAACCTTTGTAATTACTGTTACGCCAACCTAAAACACTTGGAGGATTTAAATTCATACTGAGAAAAAATATCAGTGACGTCTGATGGAAGCAGACTCCTATTGGACAGTCCAGCTGTCAGTCATTCTAACACAGACCCTCCCCCCCACAGACCTGAGCTCAGTCCAGGCCTCCATTCATTTCCAAACTGTTTTCCCCACATTTCACCACCAGACACACTGCAGCAGACGGGCCGGGATTCGAACCCGTGATCGTCACATTACGATTCTGATCATTCGTGTGTGTGTGTGTGTTCAGCACAGCTGTTACAAAGCCTCACATTATTTGGCGTTTCTCCAGGTCAATCCTTGACTTCCTGGAGGTGATGAAACAACAACAGCTCCCTCTACTGGAAGCCTTTCGTCGGTGTCTTCGTCAGCTCTGCAGTGAGCCTCAGGTGGTCTGCTTGTCCGGGTGACTCTTCAGCTTGTGGAACTTGACGCTGTCCAGCTTCTCGAAGCGTTTGTCGCAGAAGTCGCAGGTGAAGTTGTAGTGCGCCTCAGACGTGTGTTTCTTCATGTGCCAGTTCAGCGACGCCCGCTGGCGACACTGGTAGCCGCAGATTTCACACCTGACCAGGAGGATTGTGGGTGATTTACATTTATGGCGTAAACATTTTTGTAGTTTTTTTTCTGACAGACGCTCTGCGGTGACTTACTGCAGCGGCGTTTCTCCCGTGTGCGTCCGTCTGTGAACCTCCAGATGATTCTTCCTCTTGAACGATTTCCCACACGTCTCACAGATGAAATCCCTCACCCCTGTCGTTACAACACACCTCAGTGTCATTTGAATTTCAATGATTACATCACAGGTCACGTGCTGAATTCTTGCAGTGTCATGATTTGAATACTTAAAAAAAAAAAATACTTGGATATAATTTTTTAAAATATGGGATGGTCATTAATTAAACTGCAGTGATGTTTGTTCTCAATGTTGCTTCATTTTTCTATTTTTTATTTGAATCAACAGACACTTTTCTACCACCGCATAAATTAGCTTTGAACCCCTGACCTTTCTGCTGTGACACAGGACTGCCAAACACCGCACCCCCTACTTTGCACCTCACTGGGTGTCAGTTATCGTTATCACTGGACTGACGGCGTTGGTTGATGTGTAATGAGCTGCGACTCACCTGAGTGGATGATCATGTGACGATGCAGGTGGTTGGACAGGTAAAACTTTTTGCCACAGCCTGGATGGGGGCAGACTTTGGTTCTGCCCTTCCTGTGAACTAGGTTGACGTGATCTTTGTAATTACTGTTACGCCAACCTAAAACACTTGGAGGATTTAAATTCATACTGAGAAAAAATATCAGTGACGTCTGATGGAAGCAGACTCCTATTGGACAGTCCAGCTGTCAGTCATTCTAACACAGACCCTCCCCCCCACAGACCTGAGCTCAGTCCAGGCCTCCATTCATTTCCAAACTGTTTTCCCCACATTTCACCACCAGACACACTGCAGCAGACGGGCCGGGATTCGAACCCACGATCGTCACATTACAATTCTGATCATTCGTGTGTGTGTGTGTGTTCAGCACAGTACAAAGCCTCACATTATTTGGCGTTTCTCCAGGTCAATCCTTGACTTCCTGGAGGTGATGAAACAACAACAGCTCCCTCTACTGGAAGCCTTTCGTCGGTGTCTTCGTCAGCTCTGCAGTGAGCCTCAGGTGGTCTGCTTGTCCGGGTGACTCTTCAGCTTGTGGAACTTGACGCTGTCCAGCTTCTCGAAGCGTTTGTCGCAGAAGTCGCAGGTGAAGTTGTAGTGCGCCTCAGACGTGTGTTTCTTCATGTGCCAGTTCAGCGACGCCCGCTGGCGACACTGGTAGCCGCAGATTTCACACCTGACCAGGAGGATTGTGGGTGATTTACATTTATGGCGTAAACATTTTTGTAGTTTTTTTTCTGACAGACGCTCTGCGGTGACTTACTGCAGCGGCGTTTCTCCCGTGTGCGTCCGTCTGTGAACCTCCAGATGATTCTTCCTCTTGAACGATTTCCCACACGTCTCACAGATGAAATCCCTCACCCCTGTCGTTACAACACACCTCAGTGTCATTTGAATTTCAATGATTACATCACAGGTCACGTGCTGAATTCTTGCAGTGTCATGATTTGAATACTTAAAAAAAAAAAATACTTGGATATAATTTTTTAAAAAAAAAAAAAAAAATCATACTTGGATATAATTTTTAAAAATATGGGATGGTCATTAATTAAACTGCAGTGATGTTTGTTCTCAATGTTGCTTCATTTTTCTATTTTTTATTTGAATCAACAGACACTTTTCTACCACCGCATAAATTAGCTTTGAACCCCTGACCTTTCTGCTGTGACACAGGACTGCCAAACACCGCACCCCCTACTTTGCACCTCACTGGGTGTCAGTTATCGTTATCACTGGACTGACGGCGTTGGTTGATGTGTAATGAGCTGCGACTCACCTGAGTGGATGATCATGTGACGATGCAGGTGGTTGGACAGGTAAAACTTTTTGCCACAGCCTGGATGGGGGCAGACTTTGGTTCTGCCCTTCCTGTGAACTAGGTTGACGTGATTCTGCAGGAACAGATGACTGATGTTTGGACATTGTTCAGTAGAATAAACACAGAGTGTGTGGAAAAGCACGGCGTTCCCACCTGGAAGCTGCTGATGGCTACGTACACCTGGCTGCAGCCCTCGTACGGACAGTGGAACATCTTCAGCATCCCATCAGCCTCGATGACCGGACCCCGTCTGTTCCGTTTTGAGCGGTGGCTGTGGACGAAAAACTGCTGGTTGAGTCTCTAAACCCTGTCTCATAAACCTGTGTGGAGGTGTTGACTGGAGCCACAGACCTACTGCTCTTCTGCCGCTCCCTGTCGTCACTCAGCTCCAGTGGGTCGACGTCGGCTGGCTGCAGCTGTTTGGTACTTAAACCTGACATCATGACAAATCATTAGGAAGTGAAGTCATCAGTTAGGAGACACTGATGGAAACATCACCCACCGGTCACCGAGTCCTCGTCCTCTGCCGGTTTGATCCCGGAGTCATGAGGACACACCTGGTCGTAGTTGACTCCCCCGATGACGGTGCATGTGACTTCCTCTATGTTTCCACCGCTCATGTTGAGCTGGATCCCCTCTGTGGCCAGAGCCTCGTAGCTGGAGCCAGTGATGATAATTAACTGGGTGACAAAGTAAAGATGGAGAAAAGATTTCATTCCAAAGTGAAAGAAAAACTGTGTTGAGTGTTTGGTTTCATCCCTACTTTGCTGTGTTTCCTCCATCCAGAGTGTGAAGGAAGGTAACTCATACCTGGGATCCCTCCAACGCCGTCCTCTGATCTGTGATGTCACAGCTCTGCACGGCCTGAGCTTCAAAAAGTTCGCTCTGCTCCGGGACCTGCAGAGGTGCTGCTGGGACTGTCAGCTGCGGCTCAACCTCCAGCTCCAGCTGCGACTCCTCACCGGTCTTCTTCAGCTCCTCAGGTGAAGTCCTGATTTCTTCCTCCTCCACCAGGTCCATGTCTGTCCTCACGTCCTCAGTGTCCTCGTCTGAAGGGATGGAGTGGAACGCTGACGTTGGAGATCCTTGCTGTCGCTCCGTCACCATGTTGGAGATCCTTGCTGTCGCTCCGTCAGCATCTCCACCTCCCACACAGGCTGACCAATCAGAGGAGCATCCTTGGAGGGCGTGTCTGTGACATCTGTGACGGGGCTGGCTGTGGTTCGTTGATCCTCGGAAACGTTTTCTTCCACATCTACAGAAACAGACCCTGATGTTTATTACACTCACACTGTTCCAGCACAGACAACCAGGAAAGGGTTAGTTGACCTTTTAGCTGACCTTTGAACTGTTTGTTTTCGTCTCTACTCTTCTTTCTGCGGCTGCTTGATATCAGGAGATCTGCCTTTGCAGCGTCGCTGTCTCCGTTCACATCCTCCTCCTGCTCAGATTCACTGGCCCCTCTCAGTGGTGAGAAAAGGTATTGCACAAAAGAGTGGTTTGATTGACACTGCCACACAGCAGCGGTGGACAGGTTGGGCTGGGGCTCCAGAGCTTTGAGCTGCGGCTCGTGGGGGCAGTAGCCGGAATGTTCCAGGTACCAATACACTAGATTCCTCAGGCTGGAACTACGATCCCTCCGACCTGGGAGAAGGTCAGAGGTCAGAGAGTTGATGGAGTCACAGTCACATTCATTCTACACCAACTTCACTCATTTGTTTTGCTTTTGCAAATCATCACATCATCATCATAGAGGATCATACTGTCTTCCAAAAAATGCAAAGATCAATTTGACAAATAACATTTTTTAAAGAACTTTGGTGAACCGGAAATTAACCAAAAACTCACCTTTTTTCAGTTTTTCTAAGCCCTCTGACAGAGTCTTCTTTCTGTAACGTAGAATCATATTTTCATATTAATAACAGTGCAGTGACCTGCTGCAAAACAGTCTGGATTCTATATTTTGTCAATATAGTAAAAAGTATAGTAGGCAAATAATTTCAATTTTGAAACATGAAATGTCCTTTTTTTAAAATGTTTGAATGGACATTAGAGACACTCAATTTACCAGTAGCTAACAGTGAGGAGACAAAACGTTTGCGGAGGTTTACAGGAACGACCAACCTGTTGTACTTCTGCAGATACTTCTCTCCGTATGTGGAGTTGAGCAGGATCAGGTACTCGGCCAGTCCGGCATCACTCAGACTGGTCCTTCTGCGAAGCTCACTCCACAGTTTGTGCGACTCTCCCAGATATACCCGCCTCACATCGTACTTCTTTCTGGATTCAAGGCGCCTCTGTGCCCGGTCGGAGTCCGTGAGTCTGGGTCGTCCTCTGCAGCGCCTCAGAACCTCCTTTCCGAATTCTCCAGGCTGGTCGGCGTCCATGGGAACATCCAAGTCTGCCAGACTGTGCGCCATCTTACCCACAACAGCTGATGTTTTGATTAATTCAGTTAGCGGAAGTTGTAGCCAGGCTCTACCGGAAGTGTTACTCCAGGCATAATTTTTCTTCAGTTGTGACAACGTTCTATAGTACAATTTCAGACTTGTAGTCCTACTGTATGTGTGTATATGTACATAAAGTTATAAAAATAAATAATATAAAAAAAATTATATAAATAATCGCAGGTGACCACAGCGGAAATACAGGAATAGCGTCAGAGCGAAAATATATGCGTAACATGTAAACGGACCCGGTCACGTCACAATGAAACGTCAACGCGTTTTCGAGCCCGTGTCTTAAAAAATTAACTACACAAACCATGATGCATTTCGCCAAACTGCATATTGACTTCCGGGGCACGGGGTTAAAAGCTCAAATATTTTGATTCGGAAAACATGTCAGCTGAGTTATTCAGGCCTTTGTGCCGTTTTCTTCATATACATGTGTTGTGTCGATCTTAGGTTGCGTTACTTATGGATGCCGTTGACAGACACCGTGCCCTTTACAAAGGCACAACTCCACCATGGAAAGAAACGTATCGCAAGGTGAGGCAAAGAAACGTAGAAGTGTTTGGCAGCATGTAGCTGTGGCTAACACGTCTGAGCGGATGTTCCGTGCGTGTTTGTTTTCAACGAATGTCAATGTTTCTGTCATGGTCGCCAGCGATGTGTGGACAGACTCAAGAACAGTCGGTCCAGGCTGTTGGACAGATACCGTCAGATGGGAGAGAGCCAGCACTGCAGCGGCTCCGGGACCTCCATCATCGTCCAGGAGGTGATGGAGGAGGAGTGGACTGCTCTTCGGTCAGAAGACGAGAGACTTCCTTCCCTTTGGGGGCCAGAGGGTATGGTAGAGGTCGGTCTGTCTCACCTAAGTTTCCGTTAACTATAGTCATTAACTAATAAACAAAGTGAAATGAACTGCAGACACAAGCGTCTCAGAGAGATACTATTTGTGTCCAAACTTGGGGTTTCAGTGTTTACTTGTAAACTTCATTAACAGATGTTCAGCCTGATGAAAGAGTATGATGAGCTGGCAGTTCTTGAAGAAATCCAACAGGAACTTGCATCACAGGGTAATGTCTTTCTCAAATATATGATGCTGTTTTTCCTCTCTGTCCTAATGTCACTTTTTGTCCCACCTACACAACAAACAATACATTAAAAACGTCACCTGGCTCTGTGTTACAGAAGACCTACTGAAATAAGGAGTGATGAGATCAGTGTTTGTTTTTTCCCTTTTCTTCAGAAATGTCTATTATTGACGAGTACGAGAGGAACCTGCAGTTTGAGCAGCAGTACATTTTATCCGTCGTGGAAGGGATGGACGAGATGCATGTCATTTGTCCTGTGTGTCGCGCGTGAGTCAAATATCTTCCTGTCATTATTCATGTGTCAACTGTCAACAGCTTTTTACACTACAGTCGTTGACAACTGAACCTAAAGTGTTTCTTTGTTTCTTTTTTCTTTTTTAGAAACAATGTCAATATCAACAGTCATTTTATTTCCTGTCCCTGTGGACTGTACGTAAACACTAAGGTTTGTTTGTCAGAATATTAACACCTTTTACTTTTCCTGATATTACTAGCCATTTCCTGCTTTTTAAAGGCGTGTTTTTGTCTCTTAAGTTTGTTTGTCAGAATATTAACACCTTTTATTTTTCCTGATATTACTTAAGCCATTTCCTGTTTGTTTTTGTCTCTTAAGTTGTGTTTTACTATCCGTACCATTACTTTATTGTGTGACCAACAGCTCCATCACAACAGGGGACAAAAACTTAAAAGAATATCAAATTAAAAGGCTCAGTAAAGTGGTTATTGTTATGGAACAGATCTCAAATGTATTCTTTAAAAAGAAATGGTCTAAAATTCTTCCACCTGTCATCGTCCTCCACTGATTTAGAAAAAGAACATAACCCCAGACGTCCTGAGCCATCTGCTGGAGTCCCGGGTGTCAGAGCACATGGAGGATTGTCTGCACGACCCAGTTTTCTCTGTAGCAGCGAACACAGACAGCTCTCCAAACCTGATGATCAGCTGCCAGGTACGGCACCGACGTTATTCAAATGAAAGTTGTGCTGTGACACCAGTGAATCGATCAGCTGCCAGGTACGGCACCGACGTCTTTCAAATGAAACAAGTTGTGCTGTGACACCAGTGAATAATTCAAGCTGTGAAAAAGCCCTAAAAACAGAGGATAAATAAACTGTACACCCAATAGATGTTCTTTGGTTATAGAAATATTTAATTACGTTTTATACTTTAATGTAGAAATATCAAGTTCATTGTCGTAGCACACAGAAAAATAATAAACCACGAAGATTTAGTGCCCTCCAGTGGTGACGCTGCGTATTGCAACAAAATAACGGGCATTTATCCGCTTAAATAAAACACCATTTCAACTGTTTTCCTTTTGTTTGCAGGTTTGTGACTACTTGTCTGTCGTTCTGTAAAGGAGACACGAGAATCCGAAGCGGCTCTGTCTGTCAAGATTTAATTTAAAGTTTTGTTTTATAATTGTGAAATAAAGAATTTTTTTTGTCAATTTAATCTAGTGATTCTCTTCCCTCTCCTGCTGCACATCTTACGTGTTTTGCATGTGAGTCTTCTACTGATCATCAAACTCTACAAGTGTGTGGTTGTGAGATTTTAGCAAATAAAAACGTGTTGTTTCATGGGTTCAAATTGTGTGAGAAACATAAACCATGAGATCATCAGGTGAATGAATATAATTACTACTAACTCAATTCAAAACAGCAGGTCTGGGAGCAAACATTGACATTATAGTAAAGAATCTGTCAACATTACATAAATAAATCGCTCCCATACGTAAACCCATACGTCAACGTAAAAAGCTTGGAACAAACAAATGTAATTTTACTCCATGTCTGCTATATAATTTAAAAGGATTGCTCCCAAACGTTGTGGTGAAACAATGGATTTAATATTTTCCCAAAGTTGCGCTGTAAATACTGAAAATATAACATAGAATATCGCATTTAATCCTAGCACATTGCGTGTGATGTTCAGTTAACCAAATATTCCTGTAGAGGGCGGTATTACCGCGACCATGATGTGATCCGACTGACCGGAAAACAGGCGGCCGGGCTGAGTGGAGCGGAGGCAGGTAGAGGAAAGATGGCAGCCGCGGCAGTGGCTGAGTTTCAGAGAGCACAGTCTCTTCTTGGAACAGACCGGGATGCCTCTATCGATATTCTACATTCAATAGGTAAACCATTAGTAGAGAAAAACGGCTATTGTTCGACTCGCATTATGCGGCTTTACTCCTCCACCTGATGTACACCATCGTAGATAGCCACATTTAGCTTGTTAGCCGCTAAGCTAAACGCTCTTGTCGTTGTTAACACAGTGAGTCAGCAGCAGCAGCTAGCCGGTTAGCATCACACCGGTTAGCCTTACATAGGTTAACGCTAGCATCCCAGACTCATTCATTTGACTGGAACTTTGCTGACAGTTGGCTAGTCAACGTTAGCACGTTGCGTTCCGTGTTAGCATTCAGTTCTCGTCTTAAGTCAAAAGTCAGACCAACAAGGAAATGAATGTGAAACTCTTTCACACCGACTCAATTTCACAGCAATCAGCTCATTTTCACGTATCACTACACGCGTTATGCTGTCATTACATCTAAAAAATTGAGCTGTCATTGTTGTTTTATTGTTAAATGTGACAGCTCTGATGTTTCATAGCTCCTATTTGGATCCTTGCTGTTTGTCATAAGACCCAGCACAACGACATGATAGAACGTGACTTTAAACGCTGCACTTGACAGTGAAAACAAAGAGTGCGGGATCAGTGGTTTCACTTTGTAAGTCGTTGTTGGTGTCACTACGTATCAGATGACATCACTGAGTCTGTGTGTTATAGTGAAGCGGGACATCCAGGACAGTGATGAGGAGGCGGTGCGTGTTAAAGAGCAGAGCATCTTGGAGCTGGGCACCCTGCTGGCCAAGACGGGACAGGCTGCGGGTAAGCACTGCGTGTTGTCATGTTGTCACAAAGTTCTAAGACATATGATATAGGGCCCCCTGGGGGCTGAACATGAACATTCTGGTCTAGGATTTCCTGGCAAACTTTGTTCATAGACTCATTAATCAAAGTGCTTCATGTGTTTAGTTTTACATTAGATGGTGCTCTTATCTTAGTGCTGCCAAAGTTAGCATGAGTTAGCAGAAGCTACAACAGCTACAGTAAAGTCTTTCTTTCATTCCTTCTTTTTTCCCATTATTATACACATTATACAGTAAACATACGATGCTTGGTTTAAGTTTGTTTTTTCTGTCTTCTTTCATCTGCTCAGAGCTGGGTGGCCTTCTGAAATATGTGCGTCCCTTCCTTAACTCCATCTCCAAGGCCAAGGCGGCGAGGTTGGTGCGTTCCCTACTTGACCTCTTCCTGGACATGGAGGCTGCCACAGGTCAAGAGGTTGAACTGTGTCTCGAGTGCATAGAATGGGCTAAAGTTGAGAAGAGGACATTCCTGAGACAGGCACTGGAGGTGGGCTGTTCTTCTGACTCGTTACTTTATTGGTGAAATAAAGAACTTCATTAAATTAATACACCGTTTGTTCTCCTCCTCTGTTTCTAGGCTCGTCTCATTTCACTGTATTTTGACACTAAATGCTACCAGGAGGCGCTGCAGCTTGGTGAGGAGGATGGAACATTCTGACACCTGTAGACCAGTTGAACCCTGGTGCTAAGTCCTCGTGGTTTTTCATCCCTCAGGCTCACAGTTACTTCAGGAACTGAAGAAGATGGACGACAAGGCTCTGCTGGTGGAAGTTCAGCTGCTGGAGAGTAAGACGTACCACGCACTCAGTAACCTCCCCAAGGCCCACGCCGCGCTGACTTCTGCCAGGACGACCGCCAACGCCATCTACTGCCCTCCCAAACTACAAGCAGCTTTAGACATGCAGTCAGGTGCGCTTCCCATCCCCACCACAACACGTCACAATCATTTCTGTTCAGCCCGCCACTTTGGAATTTACTGTGCGTGTTCCATGTGTTCCTCAGGGATCATTCACGCAGCGGAGGAGAAGGACTGGAAGACGGCGTACTCCTACTTCTACGAGGCCTTCGAAGGCTATGATTCCATCGACAGCCCACGAGCCATCACAGCCCTCAAATACATGCTGCTCTGCAAAATCATGCTCAATGCGTAAGTGTGTTCACGTCGACGCTGCACAATTGATTCATGGTGGAAAAAGTACGAACGTTCCTGAACTGCACGTCATGTCAATCTAATCTAATCTGATCTAATCTGATCTATTTGTCTTGTCACAGACCAGAGGACGTTCAGGCCCTGATCAGTGGCAAACTAGCTCTCCGATATGCTGGCAGACAGGTATCACCCTTTATTCCTTTTAAGCCAAAAAACAATTTCAGAATTTTTCTTTTTCTTTGTTCCACTGTAACTTTTTTTTTCTTCTTCTTGTGCAGACAGACTCACTAAAAAGTGTGGCTAAAGCTAGCAAGAACCGGTCGCTCGCCGACTTTGAAAAGGTTTGTGTTTTGCGACTGCTTCGTTCTGACCACGGTCATTGTCCAACTGACACTGACGTCTGTGAGACTAGCACGACTCCAGCGTTGCTCCTGTCCCACTGACCTGTGGGGGATTTAAACTGCAGTACTGCTGCGGGTTTCTGAAGAAACGGAATGGTTTTTATGAATTTCTTCAGAAACAGAACGCAGGTGTAAGGTGTTGAGCAACAGCCACGGGGGCGAGGCTAGAATCTTGGTTGCTCAATAGTAGCGTGAACGTGGACTCCTGCAAGTTTGGACACAACCAGCGTGAACGTGGACTCCTGCAAGTTTGTTTAACACAACTCAAGTCTGAACTTACCTTTTAGCCCAGCGCTCAAGTGTTGCATTGTGGGTTGCATGTTGTCAGGCTGTAGAGAGCGGTCCCTTCATGGTCTGTAGGAACAGTCTGGGCCACCTGTGGTCCACGGGCCTCTGTTTGAATTGTCTATTGCTTCACCTGTGGTTTTAACGACATGTTCACGCTGTGTTGAAGGCACTGATGGAGTATAAGGCGGAACTGAAGGACGACCCCATCATCAGCACTCACCTGACCAAGCTGTACGACAACCTGCTGGAGCAGAACCTCATCAGGGTCATTGAACCGTTCTCCAGGGTCCAGGTACGTGACCTCCTCACGCCTCCTCCATAAAGATGGAAAACATTAGTTTAACTCATCTGTGTCGTCCATTCTTTTCTGACAGATAGCACACATCTCCTCTCTCATCACACTCTCTAAGGTAGGGTTGGTACAGTTAAAAAAATTTTAATTAATGTTTTTATTTTTAGTAAGTTTTACCAACACCATGATTTTGTCCGACATCTAGGCAGATGTGGAGAGGAAATTATCACAGATGATCCTGGATGAGAAGTTTCACGGTGAGTCGTGATTCGTTTAATCTAATGAATCTGCCGGTGTGACCGCAGCATCCAGGAAGTGAATCCTCACTCTTCCTCCTGACAGGTATTTTGGACCAAGGTGAAGGCGTGTTGATTGTCTTTGATGAACCGGCGGTGGATAAAACGTACGAGGCGGCGTTGGAGACCATTCAGAACATGAGCAAAGTGGTGGACTCCCTCTACAACAAAGCTAAGAAGCTAACATAAGGTTGGTGTTGCTGTTTCTTCACCTTCAGGATCCACTCAAAGATAAGGCTGGACTAGAGTTCTCAAACTGACTCCCTCTCCCCACAGGGGGGCGCCAAACTGCCAGTCATCTGGTGGGATGTGACGTGGACCAGTCAGACCTCCGTAAACCAACAGGAAACAGAGTGACAGGGTGGACAACACACAGAACACCTCCATCTTCACACAACCCTCTGCCCCCCCTCTTCCTCCTCCTCCTCCTCCTCCTCCTTCTCCTCTTACTGTCTTCTATTTTTCTGACTAGGGGGTGATCTAGCACAAAGTGCTCCCCCCTGTGGCAAACACTCAACAACCCAGCAAGCAAACAAACCAGCTGACCAACTACAGACAAACCAACAGGAAACAGAGTGACAGGGTGGACAACACACAGAACACCTCCATCTTCACACAACCCTCTGCCCCCCCCTCTTCCTCCTCTTCCTCTTCCTCCTCCTCCTCCTTCTCCTCTTACTGTCTTCTATTTTTCTGACTAGGGGGTGATCTAGCACAAAGTGCTCCCCCCTGTGGACAATTTCAGGCACTGGGCTGCCTTTTTTTTCCTCACTTTTCATTTATACTGTATGTAAAAATGGACAAACCCCCCCCCCTCCTGACCCCAC